TCAGTAAGTCCCAGCAAGAGAAGGATATTAAAGTGTCAAACAAAAAGATTTGCTTTAAAGAAGCACCTGTTAGACTTCAGCTGTCACTGCAACAACACTGATGCCAAGAGCAGTGATCTGCTTATGCTGCTCGTAGGAGATGCTTGCCAACCCAGAATTCAGTGTACAGTGAAAATATCTTCCAGGGATTAGGCAGCACGAAGACATTCTCAGAAAAGCAAGAAATGGGATTCATCGCCTGCAGACCTATACGAAAGGAAGGGGTATTTTGTTCCTCAGGCAAAAGAGATAATCCCAGATACAAGTTTAGAGATGGAGAAAGGAATTAAGAACAAAAAATTTGTCAGAATATAGATGAAACAAAATGGAGGTTATTTATGTATGCAGAGCATAACACTAATGCCATGTGATTTTGAAAAACAGAGAAACAGTTGAAATCTACAGCAGAGACGGTTGTCTGATGCAGTGGTTAAGACACCATTTGGGACACCTGTGAAAGCAGTGGACCATGGCCCAAGTCCTTAAAAAAAGAGAGCTAAGTGATTATTTTCTACAGGAAAGTGTCCATGACGTCTAAAACTCAAAAACCAGAAGAAATATAAGCAGGTTATTTAAAAGTAAGAGATAAATATTAAAGCCAGTTAATAGAATTAAAAACAGTTCCTTTCCTAGAGCAAGAAGTAGAGGCTAGAGGTGGGCTGGAAACATGTTTTCTGTATTAAGCATCGATGGATTTTATGCACTTGTAATTTTGAAAAGTATAAAAGCTAAATTGAGCCGGCGCCGTGGCTCAATAGGCTAATCCTTAAGCTTTTATTTATGTGATAGGCAGAGCTGTCCACTCTGCCTGTCAAAAAATAAATAAATAAATAAATAAAAGATTAAAAGCAGAGAGAGAATGAGTTAAATCTACCTTACTAATGAAAAGAAAGCTACCCATACATTACTTTTTTGATTTGCCTATCTATCCTTATGAAATTAATCTCTTTAAATCATAACTTTAAATATTTGATTGGAAGCTTTGAATCCCTTCATAGTGCTTAGACTATACTTGTATCATATATATCGGAATATAACATTGTAGCAGCAGAGATAAAATGCAGCTCTTTGCCTGTTTTTAATGGACAGGTGCTGGTCTTATTTGGAATGCTGGCAGACTCTGAGATATCAGTTCTGAAGAACTCATGTTAATACAGATACTAATGTCTATTTTCACCGTAGTTGTAGTAATTAAGTCAAGCCTTGTATGTATTAAGTGGACTATATTATAAAATCTAAGTCTGGTCATTTATTATTTAGTGGTAAGTAGTTTTAATTTCTGCAGTGGCTTAGTGTATTCTTGTAAGAAGGAAGAAATGTGTATTCTGTTTTTCTAATGCTTTCTCCATTTTACTATGTCCCTTTCTCTGTTATTTAAATAAATAATTGTTAAATGCCATTTTTTTCTTCAGGCACTGACAAGTCAATTGACGGATGAAGAGCTAGCTCAAGGGAGACTTTACCCACCCCTTGCCAATATTCAGGAAGTTTCTGTTAACATTGCTATTAAAGTAAGTAGTAATCTACCACTTTACATAAAGTTTAATGACATTTCCTTATGCAAGTAATACAAATCAACTAGATAGTTTTGAAACATTTGGAAGTATGCAAAGAAGAAATTTTCAGTGATCCATGTTCTTCCTATGAGAATATAACACACATTATTATTTTGGCTTTTGTTGCCAAAAATCTTCTTTGTAAGCATACACACACACACACACACACACACACACATCAACTTTGACTTTTTTTTTTTAAGATCTATTTATTATTTGAAAGGCAGAGTTACAGAGAGGCAGAGGCAGTAAGAGAGAGAGATCTTTCACCCACTGGTTCACTCCACAGATGGCTGCAATGGCTGGAGCTGCGCCAATCTGAAACTAGGAACCAGGAGCTTCTTCCAGGTCTCCCATGCTATGCAGGGGCCCAAGGAATTGGGCCATCTTCTACTGCTTTCCCAGGCCCATAGAAGAGAGCTGGATTGGAAGTGGAGCAGCCGGGTCTCGAATGGCACCCATATGGGATGTCAGCACCATAGGTGGTGGCTTTACCCGCCATGCCACAGCGCCAGCCCTAGCCTGTTCTTATAACTGATTTCTCACTGTACTTTTTTCCACTTAAAAGTATTATAAACTTTTTCTATGTGAATCATTATTCTCATGCATGATATTCCCTTTGTTAGTACAGCCTGATTTAGCCATTTTTCTATTTTTGGACATCTAAGTGTTTTTTAGTTTCTTATTAGAAATAACACCATAGTGAACATCCTCACAGATAATCTTTATGTGTATTTGTGATGGTTTTTCCTTATGTTCCAGTCATAAAAGCAAAAGGTGTTAATGTGCTTAAGGCTTTTGAAACATATTGCCCAACATCTCTTAGAAAAATGTACTGAATTCCATAATACCAGTTATGGGTATGTCTTTTCCCACACTTTTGCCATAACTTAAAAATTCTTTTTTAAATCCTCTACATTTAATAGGCAAAAATTGTTTCTCATCTTTCTTCTCTCCTGTCTATTGTTCACTTCTTAAGCCAGAAACCCAGAACTCAATTCAGATACCCTCCAGTGGAGGAAGAACCTCATTACTTGAGCCACCATACAGCCTTCCAGGCTCTGCAATGGCAGAAAGCTGGAATCAGAAGCAGGAGCAGGGAATAAAACCCAGGCATTCAGATGTGGGAAACAGGTGTCTTAACCACTAGGCTAAATGCATGCCCTTGTGTTTTAGTTATTAAAGTGTGCATAATGTCCATTGATATTTGGTACTTTATATTTCCCATTATGTTCATTCAGTATTTTCTTGTCTGTTCTATACTGTTGAACAAATGTTTTCTGTCACTTTTTTGTATTAAAAAACAAACTTGCAACTTTGCATGAAACCACATTACCTGGTAGCAAAAGGTGTTGCTTTCTAAGAGCAAAGGGGAAAATAGGGCAGGGGAGTAGGCAGGGCTTCATGTTTGCCCCAAGGGGGAGGGAGGGAGAAAGGGAGGGAGGGAGAGAGAGGGAGAGGGGGAGGGAGAGAGAGTGCAAGAGGGGCGGAGGGGAGGGAGAGAGAGAGATAGAGGGAGAGAGGGAGGGAGAGGGAGAGAGGGAGAGGGAAGAAGAGAGGGAGAGAGGGAGGGAGGGGGAGAGGGAGAGGGAGAGAAGGACAGAGGGGGAGGGGGGGAGAGAGGGGGAGGGAGAGAAGGACAGAGGGGGAGGGGGGAGAGAGGGAGAGAGAGGAGGAGGGGGAGATGATGCAGTAGAACTTAAATTTGTTTGTTAGACTGAAATATTAGGGAACTGCTAATAATTCTGTTGACTAGAACATGTCAAATTTTTCATGAGGTTACAGTTGATTTTTATTTCATCTTTTAAACTTTGCATAGTTTACAAGTATGTCAAATAGTATCTTTATTTTTAATAAAAATGCCTTTCTTCTACACTCAATTCCTTATGTTATAATAGTACTTTCTCTAATAGGTGTATTTGGTGCCTACACAATAATCTTAATTATTTTTCAGATTACAGAATACCTGTATGCTAATAAAATGGCATTCCGATACCCAGAACCTGAAGACAAGGCCCAGTATATTAAAGAAAGGATATGGCGAAGTGAATACGATTCCCTGCTCCCGGATGTGTATGAATGGCCAGAATCTGCGTCCCGGCCTCCCCAGATAACAGAATCGGAGCCCTCCCACTGATGCATAAATACTCCCGTGCGTCAGAGAGCCCTTCTGTCCAAGCAGAAAGCTGCAGTGTTCTCAGACTTACGGTGTTCTCTGTGTTTCATTCTCCCTCACCCCCACCCCTTTGCGTGACTTCTGTTTTTCCCATTGGGTCGCCCATCTGTTGGGGAGTGGATGTGTTGACTGTATTGTTAATGCCCACCAGTACCCTACATTAATTCTAATTTGTAGCCCATGGCACACCCAAGAGCTGTTACAGATATATCTGTGAACATCTTCACTTGCACTCTTCTTCATGCTTGCCAGTGCATTTACTATTGCAGGTAATAATCGTCTCTCACCCAGTTCTTTTAGGGCTTCTGTAATGGAAATTTGCCTCTGTACATCGGAACACAGAATTTTGAAAAGAAACCACATTCCAAGGAAGAACTGTTAGTATCTAAAATTGTTCTTTTGTATCTGCTTCATTTTACATTCATGCTCTGAAATTCCTTTGTGGTAGACAGATATAGGGAAAGATGAAAAATTCACCCTATTTATTTTCTGGAACCAAATCAAGGCTTAACTGTATACCATTATAAGAAAGTATCAATAACTGTTGCTGCCTTTCAACAAAAGTAATTTTCAACAGTATATAAAAATCACTTTTATTTAATAAAAATAATAAGTTTAGTTGTTTCAGTTATGCTGCCTTGTTGCCCAGCTAGAAATTTAGGTTTGCTTATTAGGAAAAACGTATTTTCGTTTTCTTCACTTCTAGTTGATTTTAGTATGCCTGTCATAATGACTAACCTGATATGGCTTTTAAAAAATAAGCGAGTCGTGTTTCAGGCCTAAGCGAGCTGAGTGTCAGCAGGGCGCTGTCCCCCCGCAGCAGCGCTCTGTGAGTGTCAGCAGGGCGCTGTCCCCCCCCCCCCCCCCCCAGCAGCGCTCTGTGACTTGAGTGACTGGCAGTGTTCCTGTGATACATTCCTTAATATCATCAGTGATGATGACTCTCCAGTGAAGGTGAACTTAAATTTTTTTTTAAAACCATCAAAATTACTTTGGAACAAAGTGGGGATGGATTAAATAGATGTTCAGGCTAGGAAATGCCATATTTAGTTCCAGTAAATTTCATAATAATTGGCAGAAACCAGATTTTCTGTGGCTTACAAATGGGAGAGTTATAAAAATCCAGGAGCATTTTGAAACAGAGTCAAATTGCAGTAATACCTCCCTATCAGGATTGCTTCAAGTGAACAGAACTTTTAAATATGCTGATTCTCAAATAATGATAGCCATTCAGAGGCACCTATCAGCATGCACAGTATCGCTGTTTCTCTGCAGGAGGAAAGGGGCTTACTCATCCCTTCTTTCTGTAAAGACGTGAGTAATAATTTAGAAAGTGATTTATAGTTAAGGATGCGTGGAATGGCATTGCCATTTGGAGTGTAGGAAATGCAGTTGGATAACCAGTGTAGCAGATGAGTAGTCAGAAATCTGTTTCACAAAATAAGGAGCGAGGTCACAAGCTTCTTTAAAAGGAAGATTTTTGTTTTTCATGTTACCTGTATCAAGACAAGATCACCCCTGAGAAAATTTTGGTTTTAATTTAGAATTACAAGTATAATTGTTGTATTGTTTTCTGCTAGTGCTTATTGAAGACAGAAACATCTGCAGAATTAGAGTAACTCAACTCAGATACTTGCTTGTTAAATATCACTAGTATAGCCTTTAATGGAAATTATTAAATTGCTTAGTGGGAAAAAATAAACTAAATGGCATTTAATCTGTTTAAGATTAAAATTTTAATATTTCTTAGCTTTGCATAAAGAACTACCTATTTTCATTGTTATTTATGAATCAGCATATTAGCTATTAAATATTGGATGTAAATTAAATTTAAATATTTTAATATTTAAGCAAAGAGTGCAGGCAGGAATTATTAACATTGAAAAGACAGGAGTAGGAGGCCATTAATGGCCTCACATTGGAAAAGAAACTAAAACATTTGTGCCTTCTATGGGAGCTTGTACTGATCAAGAAGGTAATTGTTTTAAAGAACAGCAATGGAACCTCTCTTACATTCTTTTTAATAAAGAAGAAATTCTGTAGATGAGTTTGTTAGTAATTACTGAGTAGGAAAAATAATACATGTTACTCTCTGCCACCACCTGTAGTATGAAACATGGATAACTAATGAGGGTAAGGTTTTTTGACAATAAAGGGGAAGTTTTTTTGGTTAAAATATTTTTAATAAAATGATGGCTTTTTAAAAAAATATTTATTTATTTATTTGAGTTATACAGAGAAAGAAGGAGAGGCAGAGGGAGAGAGAGAGGTCTTCCATCCGCTGGTTCATTCCGCAGTTGGCCGCAATGGCTGGAGCTGCGCTGATCCAAAGTCAGGAGCCAGGAGCTGCTTCTATGTCTCCCGTGTGGGTGCAGGGCCCCAAAGAATTTGGCCATCTTCCACTTCTTTCCAAAGCCATAGCAGAGATCTGGATCTGAAGTGGAGCAGCTGGAATTTGAACCAGCTCCTATATGGGATGCTGGCACTGCAGGTGGTAGCTTCACCTGCTACGCACAGAGCTGGCCCCAGGGATGGCTTCATTACCAAGTGGTTGCCTCAGCATCCCTGTGAACCTTTAAAGTGAAGATGCCTCAGATCCCCCCTCCTGTCCTCATGACCACTGCCTTAAAGCCCTGCTGGAATCGTCTGGAGAGCTGGTGGTGCAGGGGCTGTGGGCGGGGCCTGACAGTCTGAATTTCTGACATGCTCCCAGGTGGTGTCCCTGCTGCTGGTCCAGGATCACCCCAGAGAGGCAGTGCTCCAGAGCCCTGGGTGTGGTGTGCAGTTTAAATTAGTGCTTATGTAGTAAACCCCTCACTTTAAATGGTAAGGATCAACTGAAATTAGGTTTTCACACATAGTTGTTTTCATCCAGTTTTGTTAGTTTCATTTTTAAAGATATTTATAAGGACAAAAATTAATAAAACTTTAGATGTTTCTGAAAATAAAAACTAGAATACTGTTTCATTGTGAATGACAGATTTGTAGCATGCTTAGATGAAACCTAGCAACCTGTTTTGATTCGTAAAGACCACCTGCCAGTGGGCATTTGTTTGCTATTAATTCTATGCTTTGTCCTTCCTTTCTGTCCATTGCCAGCCTCTGGAGAAAGAGGATTTGACAATTTTTGCAGAAGAATTGGTGATGAATTAAGAGCAAAACACAGTAAGGAGTGTGGAGGGTAATTTGCTGTTCCCAGATAACAGAAAGTGCCCAGGGGCAGGGGAGAGGAGGGTGGGGAGTACCCACTTCCTCCAAGTCCGCTGAGGCCTCTTTCTCAGTGCCCCTCAGGGAAGCCTTCTTCATTCTCTTAAATATCTTCAGAGTTCTGTTCACTCACCAAAATGGAATCAGCTCTTTGGAGGATCTTTACTACATGAGAGTATTAACATAAATCTCAGAGCCCTGCTGGATTCCATGTAAAGGGCAGTCGAAGGATGAAATAGCTGCACAGCTGCATTTCCATCCAAGACAAGGCCCTGTGTTGAGGTGCAGGCCCCTGCCAGCTACAGAAAATGGCCCAGGTTCCTTACCTACTTTGGCTCTCAACTCATTTGTGATACATGCGTTGTTCCTGTGAGGGTTAAAATGAAGCCTCTACAGCTGATCTATGGTAACATACTTAAAATATTCAAGATAATTCAACTACAGAAAAGTTCCCCCTTTCCTGAAATCAGAATTAAACTTTTTCATTAAGCAGAGAGAAAACCCAGTGCTTTGTTTGAAATTTCAGTAAACTGGAGTGGGTTATTTAGGACATGACTCTTATTTCATAATTCCCTTAATGCTTGTCAGAGTTACTTAGATAAAGTAGTGCTTAGATTTTTAAAACAATTATTTTCCTTTCTTGGATAAGGAAAATTGTGCCTCTCAAAGAGAAAGCTGTTCATAGTTTAGCTGCATGAAATATATCCATGGAATCAAATGACTTGAATACATGATACCTTTTGGTAGGTAGCATTTTACGTACAAATGAAGTTTTTAATATAGCTATTAAATATTTCATATTTAATGTTTTTTCCAAGTGAAAGCTTATCTGCCACTTTGCTGTTTGGAAGGTTTTCCTAAATTCATCATGCTTTTCTAATTTTAAGACTAAGGGAGATTTATAGGTGTGAAAATATGCATATATAAAAACTCAGTTGTCAGGGCTTCCTTTTATGTTCTAGAACAAGTATTTCTTCTTTCCTAAGTTTAAGTGTATATTCTAATAAACATTATTCTTACATCATTGAATTGTCTCCCACAGATTTGGTATATACAAAGGTACTTCAAAAAGTTTGTGGAGAGTGGAATAATACAAATATTTTGATTCAAAAAAATTGAAACTCAGGCATACAAAGATTCTTTAAGACACTTGTAGAAAATGTATTTGACAAAAAATGATGCATGGATTTAAAAAAATTTTTACACTACAACATCTTTGAATTCCATTTTTCCATGAAATTTCTGAAGTATTCTTGTAGGGTGGTGACTAATGACAAGCTAAGTGTGTTGGACAGTCCCTGCTGTGTGCCAGGTGTTCTGAGTGTTCCAGGTACCTTACGTATTTAATCCTTGCTGTTACTCAGTTTTGTTGCCTGTTTTACAAAGACAGGCACTGAGAGAGTAAGTGACTTGCCAGAGAGAGATCTCCTTTGGCGAAGCTGGGCTCTGAGTTTAGACTCCACACTGAGGGAGTAATGTCTTCAAGAACTGTTGTTTCAAGAGAAAATTGATCACCTTTCTTTTAAGATCAGTGTGAGTTTTTTTTAATGTGCTTTTCCTGTTCATTTGTTTTTGTTTGTTTGTTTTGTTTTATCTTTTTTTTTTTAAGATTTATTTATTTATTTGAAAGCCAGAGTTACAATGAGAGAGGAGGAGAGGCATGGAAAGAGGTCTTCCCTCCTCTGTTTCACTCCCCAATTGGCTGCAATGGCTGGAGCTGTGCCAATCCAAAGCCAGGAGCATCTTCCAGGTCTCCTACACGGGTGCAGGGGCCCAAGGACTTGGGCCATCTTCCACTGCTTTCCCAGCCATAGCAGAGAGCTGGATCGGAAGTGGAGCAGCCAGGTCTTGAACCGGTGCCCATATGGGATGCCAGCACTGCAGGCGATGGCTTAACAAATGCTACACCACAGTATCAGCCCCTGCTTTCATGTTTAATTCAAACACAACACAAATCTTATTTGTTAGTCTTCAGCATCTTAAGTATTGGATATATAAAATAAAATTTGGTTTTGAGTTTGATTAATTATGGCAAAGATTATCAGCCAGTTCTAACATCTTTTGATTTAATAATCACAGAACCACCAACTGCTGTCACTTCTGTACAAATCAGTTTCAGTTATGCTTATATATTGTATTTTGTGTCAATGTGCATTTGTATTGTAAGATATATTTTAGATATCTGTTGTATTATATGCTTACACAACTCCTTCCATTAAAAGGTGAGAACAGTAAACAAGTAACAATGTATGTGTAGAACTAAGGAATTTCTGAAGAGACCTATTTTAGCTAAATATTGAACAAAAAATGCTCTGCCCAATGTTTTGTTACTCTTTGCCTAAAGACCTTTAAAATTAATTCAAATTAAGTCCATAGTTTTGCAATTGATATTTTTCATTATTTGCTTTGATAACAGCCGAACTATTCATTACTCATGGAAGCCACACAGCATGCCCCATTGTTTAGCCTTTTGCGTCTTTGTGTTTAAGACAACATAATGGAATGAACGGTCTTGTGGTAGTTGCTCATGGGAATGCTAGTTAAGGGAAAGCCTTGTGTAGAGCATATTATACTAGATTGGCTTGTTACAGGTGGTTGCAGGGGGTTGGTCTAAAATTATGTGAATTGTCTTTTCTCCTTTGTGATATGAGATTTGTGCTCTTATATTTTCTTAGTAAAATTTTCCTATGCATAAAGAATGCTTGATGACATTGTTTTTTAAAGTTGGGTATGCACAGAAAACTCTTTTTTTTTTTTTTTAAAGATTATTTTATTTGGAAGGGTTACAGAGAGAGATCTTCCATCTGTTGGTTCACTCCCCCAAGAGGCCACAACAGCCAGGGCTGGGCCAGGCTGAAGGCAGGAAGGAGCTGGTGTCGCTCCCCCTCGTCATGGAGGAACGACACTAAACCCTGCCTAGGCTTCATATCCGAGTCACGGCACCATTATGTCGCTCCCCCTCTTCGTGGAGGAACAACACAGGACCCTGCGCTGTTCTTTTGTCTGCTCGGCCCTCCCGGGTTTGCTGCTGGTTCTTCCCGGGTTGGCTACTATCCCTTCCACCTCCGTGGCGGTTCCCCCTGCCACTTTCCCCACTTCAGCGGGGGAGCGGCACACCCCCGGCCGGCTCTCTCGGGGTGTTCCTTCAGATAGATGTTCCTGGTGCATGTTGTCTCTCTCCTCCTTTATAGTCCTCTTCCACCAATCCCAACTCTGCTACCCACACGCCGAGTACGCTGCTCTCCTCCAATCAGGAGCAGGTCCTGCTGCTTATTGGTGGAACTGGAGGCAGCTGTGTAGAAGCTGTTTCCTCCTCTCCCAGCGCCATATTGTGGGAGAGCAGATGCATAGAATAAGTCTTAATTCCAGTAACTTAGTCTAGTCCGAGTTGCTCCCAGTTGCTCCCCACAAGCTGGGAGCTTCATCTGGGTCTCCCAAGTGGCTGCAGGAGCCCAAGGACTTGGGCCATCTGCTGCCACTTTTCCCCACACATTAGCAGGGAGCTGGGTCAGAAGTGGAGGAGCCAGTGCCCATAAGGGATGCCCAGTGTCGCAGCTGGCTGCTTAACCTGCTACACCGTAATGCTGACCTCCTGGACACTTTCTGAATTTGGTGCTGTTAGGACCTGCATTGTGGCACAGCAGGTTAACCCGCTTGTCATGCTGGCCTCTCAGAGTGTCACTCTCACCAGAAAGCCTTGCTTCATACCCCGGAGAAGATCAGAAGAGGCTGTCAGGCTCTGCCACCTCCCAGCTTCCCAGGCACCTGGAGAGGGTGAAAAGCAGCAGCCCCTGCTGTTGAATGTCAACCCTTTCCCAGAACATTAGTCTGGCCATGATGGATCCTGGCACGCAGAGGACCACTTTGTAATCTAAGGAAATACGGGCATTGTCCAAACCCCAGAAATGACCTGACACCCACAGCCCAGCATCCAGGCTGTACTGAGTCTGATTTTTCCTAATAGGAGTTTTAGTCATGTGCCAGCCTGCACCCCCTTGAGATGAAATTTCTTGCGATGACCAGTCTTAGCATCATCCTGCTTCCCAAAACCGTCCGCAGTGAATCTGACTTCCATGGACGCTCTGCAAAACCACCACACCAAAACCCCGGTCCTGAAATGCAGGGGAACTTCACAAAGCTAGTGGGGAGTGGAATTAAAAGATGATACGCATTTTCCGTGAAGTCTTTGAAGACCCCCTCATACTTGCAGAAATAAAAATAACCACCTTTTATGCACAAGGTTGTCTATGACCACACTGTGATAGCAAAAAGCGATCACAAAACTTGGAGGACTGATGGAGTATGGAGTCACTGGGTGACCACTGGACAGATGGCGGTGGAGGGGAGTGAGGGAGTTCTAATTGTGTACCGATTCAGGGCTGTGCAGTCAAAGCTGGTGCTGCTTGGCACTTCCTTCCCAAAAGAACTTTGTGTTCAGCTGCAGAGAGTGCAACTCCACTGGTACTTTTTCTACTGTGGCCTTGAATTACCATGTGTGGGCCCCTTGTTTTCAGACTGAAGAACCTCCTTTAATTTTTTTTTCTTAAAGAATTCTTTATTTGAAAGGCAGAGTTAACAGAGGGAGAAGCAGACAAGGTGGGAGAGATCTTCTAGGGCTTGAGCCACTGTTCTCATGGGATGCCAGCGTCACAGGTGGCAGCTTAACCCACTGTACCTTACTGCAAACCCCTTTTAGTATTTCTTGTAGGTCTGATAGCAACAAATTATCTCCATTTTTGGTCTTTATGGGAAAGTATTTTGCCTTTTTCTTTTTCTTGACAGGCAGAGTGGACAGTGAGAGAGACAGAGAGAAAGGTCTTCCTTTGCTGTTGGCTCACCCTCCAATGGCCGCCGCCGCGGCGGTCGCATCGCGCTGATCCGAAGCCAGGAGCCAGGTGCTTCTCCTGGTCTCCCATGCGGGTGCAGGGCCCAAGCACTTGGGCCATCCTCCACTGCACTCCCGGGCACAGCAGAGAGCCCAGACCGGGACTCGAACCTGGTGTGCCGGTGCTGCAGGCAGAGGAATATCCTATTGAGCCGCGGCACCGGCCAGTATTTGGGCCTTTTTCAAAAGGTGGCTTTGCTGGATATAGAATTCCTAGCTGATTTTTTTTTTTTAATCCACTGCCTTCTGGTTTTATTATTTCCTCTGTGAACTCATCAGCTCTCTCGTTTCCTTATAAGAGATGTTTTCCACTAGTTGGGCGGTCAAGAGTTCTCCTTTGGCTTTCAGCATTTTCACTCTGCTGTGTCTATTTGTAGAACTCTGTGTGTTTATCTTGTTTGGAATGTGTGGAACTTCTGAGTGTGAAAATCACCACTTTTCAATAAATTTGGGTTTTCAGCCATCATTCCGTTGCGTATCTTTTCTGTTGATTCTACCAGGACTCCATTGCTGGTTTGCCTAACAGTGTCCCACGTTTCTGTTCATTTTTCTTCATTCCTTTGTCTCTTCCCATCCTACTTAGCTCATTTCCTACCTCTTCCTCACTGACCTTTTGGCTAGTGATCTCCTTGGCCATATTCTTACCACCCCCTTTGCTTTCTCATTTGTCTCCTCAAATTGTTACTTGATTGCTTCCAATGGCTGGTTCACTCCCCAAATGGCGCCAGCTGCAGGAGCTGAGCCCATCCAAAGCCAGGAGCCAGGAATTTCTTCCTGGTCACCCATGTGGGTGCAGGAGCCCAAGGACTTGGGCCATCTTCTACTGCTTTCCCAGGCCATAGCCGAGAGCTGGATTAGAAGTGGAACAGCCGGGACTTGAACCAGGTGAAGGATTAACCTAGTGGCCACAGTGCCGGCCCTGGGAGGGGCCTTCTTGCTTGCTTGCTTGCTTGCTTGATTTATACATGGTATATTTAGAAATGTGGCTTGGGCAGGCATTTAGCTTCTCAGCTGCAGGTTGGGATACCCATCCCACATCTGAGTGCCAGGGTTCCTTGCCTGGCTCCAGCTCCTGGCTCCAGCTTCCTGCTACATCAGATGCTGGGAGGCAATGGTGATGGCTCAATGGTCGGGTCCCTGCCACTGGCGTGGGAGACCTGGATTGAGGCCCTGGCTCCCAGTTTTGGCGATTGCAGGAATTTAGGGAATGAACCAGTGGATGAGCTATCTCTAGCTGTATCTCTGTGTCCTCCCCCTCGGCCTCTCAAATAAAATTTTAAAACACAAAAGGATTCCAGGTAGAGGCTCATGAAGGTTCACGGTTATGCAGACATGAACTCTTGATTCCAAGGCACCTGCGTTTTTCTCCTAATGAGTGGAAGACACCAAAGGCTAAAAATCACACAAGCGGGAGCAAAATATAGGGATGAACACTCTTTCGGAAAAAGCAACACACAAAAACAAACACGGGATACAAAAGAAAACAAGTAGAGGAGTGAACGTTTTCGCTTTTGGCTCAGCCGCGCCCAGCTCCCCGCGGGTCACGGCCACCATCTTACAGCGAACTAGGAAGCGAGAGAGTATCTGCGGGCACTTCCCGGCGACCGCCTGCGAGCCAGCAAGTGCGCTAGGCGCTGGGCCGCGGGTCGGCGCCACCGAGCACAGACCTCCCGCGCGTCCTAGAGCGGCCGCGCGGGAGCCGGTCCGCGGCGCACTTCCGCCCGCGTGCGGCGCCGCCCGGCGGATTGTGGGCCCTCGGCACGGGCCTGCGCGTCGCTGGGCTCCGGCCCCGGTCTCGGGGACAGGGTGAGTGGGGCAGGGCGCACCGCAGCGGGCGGGCGCGCATCCTCGGGACTTGCCGGCTCCAGCCCTCCCGGGCCTGGCTTTTCGGCGCCCGGGAGCGAGGACGTGCTCGGTCCACTGCCCGGGGACCCTAGGCTCCCTAATGACCGCTGGCCCTGGTCAGTGTGGCCACTCTGGCTCTCCGGGCCAGGAGTCTTTGAGCTGTAAAATGGAGGACGGCCGTATCTGCGTCCTCCACACCCCAGGGTGATTGCGGGGTGCACACCGGTTGCCTGGAAACCAGGAAGCGGCGGTCCTCCACCCGGCAGCAGTTAGAAGCGCTTGGGCGGCCGTCAGACCCTGGGCTGCTGGCCCGGTGGCAAATGACAGGGACCGCAACCGGAGTGCGCCCTGCGGCGAAGGTGGATCGCGGCAGCTGGTGTCTGTCCCAGAAGACAGACCTCATCTGGTGTCCTCGTTTGAATTTCTAGCGCCTAGGATGGTGCATGCCCCGTCGCGTAAATAAATTGCTGATTACTTCCCGACCTGGTGGGAGGGCTTCGGTTGTTCGGTTTGTTTCTACTGAGGAAGCTTTCAATCATGAATGGAGATAGAATATATTGAACTCCCAATTTACGGTGAATCTTGCTTCATGTATCACCTTCGCTCTGTCTTAAAGCAAGCGTGAAGTGTGCCATTCCATCTGTTCCTGACTTTCAATAAAACACAGTTACTCCTTTCTAACGCATAAAGCCATTATGGGTCTGGTAACAGTCCGTGCGCTCACCTGCTGGCCATCAGCGTTTGCATTTTCCCAGCTGCCCCATCCAAGTCTAGTTTGCCCACGACAGAGTGCACACAAGCTACGGGTTGCATTTGGTTGGCATCTTCTAATTTCGACCCTCTCTCTGTTTCTTCCTTGTGTTTGACTTACTGAAAAAACCAAGTCATTTGGCCTGTAGAGTTCTTTACATCTTGGGTTTTGTTTTTCCCATACTTAAACAAATTGGTAGTTAGATGCACGGCGTTTTCCAGGTTCTATTTTTTCAGGGAAGAAAACCTCATCAGAGTTACCGAGTATTTCATAGCATATCTTATCGGGAGTTAGATGTACCAGTTGAACGCAGGGCAACCAAATAATTGACCAGGGAATTATAGAAGGATGTCTTGGATCTGGTATTGATCACTAGTGGCTGAAAGAGCGCCACACACGGCCGAGGTGCACCTCCTGATGAAAGATCCCCATCCCACTTACAGCTGTTCTGGGGTTGTGGGGGTGGGTATGGGATACAGATGGAACAAGATGGCCCCAGAGGTGAGAACTGTTAAAGCCCGGTGGTGGATGGAGAGCTTTAATGCGTTATACTCAGCTTTGCTTTTAGCTGTGTGTGAGATATTTTTCATAATAAAATGTTGGTTTAAAAAACTGACTAGTGAGTTCAGGTCAGCCTGAATGCAGCTGGATGCTGCATTTTTTTAAAAGCATCAATATTAAATAAAATTGAGTGCAGAATAATGCTGCTCATTACAACCAAAAAACGATCCAAAAATTTAAAAGCAAAGTCAATAATCTACCTCCCCACCCCCTCATTTTAATCATCCCTGAGATGAACAATATATTAACAGCATGGGGTGTATCTTTCCACACCAGACTTTCTCAAATAATGTGCATAAAAATGAGGCTTATCACATATCCATCTGTCATCTTTCTCATTGTCACCCCTCCAGGACAGCAGTTACAGACCTGAGTCTTTGTTACCTGTGGAATAACTAGTAAATAATGGTAGGCGTGGATGGTAAAATACTCAGCCACCTCCCTGCTGACGTGTTTTCACACTGCTTCCAGAGTGCAGCCCCCTTCAAAGCGCCACGGTAAGCATCAGTGCACAGAGCTCCTATTCTGTGGGGCGGATTCTGGAGAAGGGGACTGCTGAGTGCAGGTGGAGTGCAGCAGTGGCATCATCAGTATTGATGAAATGTGCTGCCAGATTGCTCTCCCAGAGTGGGAGAGCAGTTCTCACTCCCACCCTCAGTGAGTGTGAGAGCGCCTGTTTACTCATTCACCCTCATCCTGGTTTGTTTCATTGATACTTGCCAGCTGATGTGTGGAAAACAGTGTCTGTTTCTTGAATTTGTGATTCCATCATCATCCAGAAACTAAGCACTTTTTATGCACATTGGCTTTTTGGATTTTGTATGAGGTTTTTGTATAGATTCTTGACATTTTCTGTTTTTCTATTGTATCATTTTTTTTTTTTTTTTTTGACAGCCAGAGTGGACAGTGAGAGAGAGAGAGAGAGACAGAGAGAAAGGTCTTCCTTTGCCGTTGGTTCACCCTCCAATGGCTGCTGCACCGCGCTGATCCAATGGCAGGAGCCAGGTGCTTCTCCTGGTCTCCCATGGGGTGCAGGGCCCAAGCACTTGGGCCATCCTTCACTGCACTCCCTGGCCACAGCAGAGAGCTGGACTGGAAGAGGGGCAACCGGGACAGAATCCGGCACCCCGACTGGGACTAGAACCCGGTGTGCCGGCACCGCAAGGTGGAGGATTAGCCTAGTGAGCCGCGTTGCCGGCCTCCATCTATTTTTTAACCTTTGATTTTTATGAGTTTTTTGATACATAAGAGTTTTTATATAGTGAAAATATTTATTTTAATTTCTCAGTTTCTTTTTTTTTTGGCCAATAAATGCTTCCTCATTCCCAGAGTTATGTACAATGACCTAATCTTTTTCAACATATTTTATTGAACTTTTTACATTTAAATTTATAACCCATACGAAATGTATTTCTTTTTTTTTAAAGATTTATTTTATTTATTTGAAAGATAGGGTCAGAGAGAGACGTAGAGCCAGAGAAAGAGGAAGCGAGGTCTTCCATTCCACTGGGTCACTCCCCAAATGACTGCAACCGCCAGAGCCGAGCCGATCCGAAGCCAGGAGCTTCCTCCGGGTCCCCTGTGTAGGTGCAGGGGCCCAAGGAGTTGGGCCATCCTCAACTGCTCTCCCAGGCCACAACAGAGAGCCAGATGGGAAGTGGAGCAGCCGGGACCCAAACCGGAGCCCATATGGCATGCTGGCCCCTCTTGCCACGCCACAGCACCAGCCCCTTGAAATGTATTTCTAAATACAATGGAAAGTGAAGATCTTGTTTTGCTTTTTTCTGTAAGAATAGTCAGTGATGTCAGAGCTGTCCATTATATAAACCACCCTTTTCTACTTTTTTATATATTCATTCCGGTACATATGTGACCAGTTGCTGGATTTTTTTCCTTGCTTTTACTTTTTTTGTGTGTGTTAATATTATTCTGTTTTCATTACATCTGTTTAACTGTTAATATCTGGGAAAGCAAGTCAGTACCTTTTTTGGTAATTTTCTTAGAATTTTTTATTTTATGAGGGAGGAATCTCATCTGCTGGTTCACCTCACAACAGCCAGGGCTGCGCAAGACCTGAACGGGGAGCCAGAAACGAAGTCAGGGCCTCCCATGTGGTTGGCAGAGGCCTATCTGCTGGAGCCATCACCTGCTGCCTCCAGGGGCGAACATGAGCAGGGAGCTGGACCCGCGAGTCCTAGAAGGGCTGGGTGTCCCAATCAGTGTCTTAGCCACTAGGCCAATGTCTCTCCCAGGCATTTTTTTTTTCCTATGTGACCTTTGGATTTTTTTTCCCCAAGATAACTCCACTAGAAATCTGATAAGATTTTCACTAAATGTATCGATAATACCTGGGGAAAGATGACTGTGTGTGATATCAGATCTTCCTATCAAGGAGCACAATGTGTATCTCCAGTTGTTGGAATCTTTTGGTTCCTTTTCTTCCCTGCTGTCTTTATTTCTGGTGATTTTATAAGTTGTGTGTGTGTGTGTGGGGGGGTGGTCAGGAGTGCTCAATTTTAAAATAATTAAAAATGTTTAACATACTTATTGTGGTAGAATGAGAAGGCCATGCCAAGATGGCTGCTGGCAACAGAAACTGCCTGGCAACAGGTTGTGATTAGAAGGTTTCAGAAACCACATGACAATGGAGCCTGACTGAAAACAGGCTGTGATTGGATGGTTTTGGAAACCACATGACAACGGAGCCTGCCTGGCAGTAGGCTGTGATTGGATGGCTTCGGAAACTGCCTGGCAACAGAGCCTGCCTGGCAACAGGCTGTGATTGGATGGCTTCGGAAACTGCCTGGCAACAGGGTGTGATTGTTTAGGGCATAGACCGCCCCTTGACCGGATTGGCTGCCTTGGCTATATAAGCAGCTGTAGCAACTGAAATAAATGAGTCTGCAGGCTGCTCGCCTCTGGCCCGCTTTCACCCGGCTCCCGGGGTCTGTGTGGTGACTCTGCGCCTCTTGTCCCCACCACACTCTTCCTCTCAGAACGAATCCACAGCAACAACTTATTTTTTATTTATTTGAAAGGCAGAGGTAGAGATCATCTGTCTGCTGTTTCACTACCCAAATGCCTGCAACAGGCTGAAGCCTCACCCTGGAACTCAATCCAGGTGTCCCTTGTGGGTAGAAGGGACCAGAGCACTTGGTCCATCACCCTGCCTGCCAGGATGCATTTTAGCAGGAAGCTGAAATCAGAATTGGACTGGGAGTCAACCCAGGCACTCTGGTATGGGATGTGGGAGGCAGGCATCCCAAGGGTACCTGTTAGCCACTACACCAAATGTGTGCCCTCTCGTTACTGTTTTTATCTGGTTGTCGCTAGACCTGAGAAAAGCTATGGCCGGCTTTTGGTATTTACCTTTTATCTAGTTTTCTGTCAGATTTTCTTATTACAGTACTTTTCTCAAAACTATTTGTTTTCCTCCCTGCCATCAATATGGATAATCTATAATTGGTTTTGTATAGTTTCAGTTTGTTCTCATTCTGTTTAATATGCATCCCATGATATAAATATATCATAAAGCAGATGTGCCCACAAGTGGTAAAAAGAATAGTGCTGGGAGCTGGCAGAAATCTACACTTAGGAAACATTGTTGTTGATCACCTAGAACAGCAGTCTATGGGGCAAGCATTTGGCCTAGCAGTTAAAATGCCTGTAGCCCACATCAGAGTACCTAAGTTTGATACACAACTCTGGCTCCTGACATAGGTTCCTGCTCATGCACACCCTGGGAAGCAGTAGTGATGACAAGTAGTTGGGTCCCTGCTGCCCATGTGGGAGTCTTGGATTGAGGTCTTGGCCACGGGCTGTTGCTGATTTTTGGAGAATGAATCAGCAGGTGGGATCTCCCCCCACCCTCAAATCTGTCTCTCAAATAACTTGTAAAAGTTTATAAATAGCAGAGTGCCAAGTCCTCACCAGCCTTGGCCCTACCCCCTGCCATTTAGGGGAGAGAGCCACTTGCTCAGCATTGCTGTGAAGTAACAGCAGTATTGTGGAGTGTTACAGAGTGTTACTTTATGTATTCGTTACTTCATTCAGGAAAAGGGCTCATCACCATGGGTACCAGAGACACCCTTTGGTGAGCATAATGAAATACCAGCTCTAAGCCATACAGCAGCTAATTTTGTTTTACAGATTAGCTGTATGTAGTTTTACATTTATATTATATTTAACATTATATAAAGATAAATATAAAATATTACATTTATTTCATTTTATTGAAGTATTTTCCATCCACTGGCTCACACCCCAAATGCCTACAACACCACAGCTGGGCTGGGACGAAATCAGGATCCCAGAACTCTATCCAAGTTTTCCATGTTGTGTGGTGTGTGTGGCATATGAATTCAAGACCCAATTACTGGGGCCGGCACTGTGGTGCAGGAAGTTAATCCTCCGTTTACGGCGCCAACATCCCATATGGGCACCGGTTCTAGTCCCGGCTGCTCCTCTTCCTATTCAGCTCTCTACTGATGCCTGGGAAAGCCGTAGAAGATGGCCCAAGACCTTGGGCCCCTTCACCCACGTGGAGCCCTGGAGGAAGCTCCTGGCTCCTGGCTTCGGATCGGCCCAGCTCCGGCTGTTGCTGCCATCTGGAGAGTGAACCAACAGAAGGAAGACCTTTATCCCTCTCACAGTCTCTAACTCTACCTGTCAAAGAAAAAAAAAAAAGACCCAATTACCAATTACTTGAGCTATCACCCATTCCCTTCCAGGATTGCACCAGCAGGAATGTTTATCAGAAGTGGAGGAACTGGGACTCGAACAATGCACTTCATGGCCGGCGTTGCAGCTCAGTAGGCTAATCCTCCACCTGCGGCGCCAGCACACCAGGTTCTAGTCCCGGTCGGGGCACCAGATTCCTTGGGCCCTGCACCCACATGTGAGACCAGGAGAAGCACCTGGCTCCTGGCTTCGGATCAGTGCAGAGCACTGGCTGCAGCGTGCCGGCCGCAGCGGCCATTGGGGGGTGAACCAACGGCAAAGGAAGACCTTTCTGTCTCTCTCTCTCACTGTCCACTCTGCCTGTCAAAAAAAACAATGCACTTCAGTATGGGATGCGGGTGCTAAGTGGCAACTTAACCGCTGTGCCAAATGCCTGCCCCTAGAAGTTGAGAAGTACAAGGAGTTCCTCTGTACCCCCTCACCCCTCACCTGCCCCGCCTTTCTCCTATATTAATATCTTGCATTAGTGTGGTAAATTTGTTTCAGTTGATGAGCCAATACTGTTCCTAACCAAAGTACGCCTTAGGGTTCATCCCGTGTTTGTGTTGCACATTCTGTGTACAGTTGATCAGTGTGTCTGTCCTCACATGTTATACAGAATAATTACACTGTGCTAAAGATCCTGTGCACATGGGGCCGGCACCGTGGCTCACTAGGCTAATCCTCCGCCTGTGGTGCCGGAATCCCATATGGGCCCCGGGTTCTAGTCCCGGTTGCTCCTCTTCCAGTCCAGCTCTCTGCTGTGGCCCGGGAAGGCAGTGGAGGATGGTCCAGGTGCTTGGGCCCTGCACCCTCATGGGAGACCAGGATGAGGCTCCTGGCTCCTGGCTTCGGATCGGCGTAGCTCCGGCTGTAGCGGCCATTTGGGGGTGAACCAGCAGAGGGAAGACCTTTCTCTCTGTCTCTCTCTCTCACTGTCTGTAATTCTACCTGTCAAATAAATAAATAAAAAATCTGAAAAAAAAAAGATTCTGGGCACCACCTTATCCTTCCCTTCTTCCCCAAAGCACCAACAACACTGATCTTTTTATGTCAGCCATGGTTTTGCCTTTGTGAGAATGTCATAAAGTTAGAATTCAACTATAGTTTTTTTTTTTTTAAGTATTTATTTATTTGAAAGAGTTATGGAAGGAGAGGCAGAGACAGAGAGAGGTCTTCCATCTGCTGGTTCACTCCCTAAATGGCTGCAATGGCTGGAACTCGGCCAATATGAAGCCAGGAGCCAGGAGCTTATTCCAGGTCTCCTATGTGGTGCAGGGGCCTAGGCACTCAGGTCATCTTCCACTGCTTTCCCAAGCACATTAGCAGAGAGCTGGATCGGAAATGGAGCAGCCAGGACTCAAACTGGTGCCCATACGGGATGCTGGAGCCACAGGCAGTGGCTTTATCAGCTACACCACGACTCTGGCCCCTCAACTATTGTTTTTAATTGATTAGATTTAATTCTTATTGTTTGAACAGTCATACAAGTTCTGTACCTTTTAGTTTTGGCCAATTAGGAGTTATAAAAATCTTACTTTGGTTGTGGGCATTGTGGCTCAGTGGATAAAGTCACTGCTTGGGACACCCACACCCCACATCGGAGTGCCTGGGATGGAGTCTCACCTCTGCTTCCCATCAAGCTTCCTGCCAGTGCACCTGGGAAGGCAGCAGATGATGGTTCAAGTGCTTGAATCCTCGCCACCCACATGGGAACCCTGAGTTCCAGGCCCTTGGCTTTGGCCTGGCCCAGCCTGGCTTTTGCAGGCATTTATGAGTAAAGCAGCAAATGGAAGCTCTGTGTCTCTCCCACCCACGTTCTCTGTCACTCTGCCTTTCAAACAAATAAATCAATCTTAAAAAAAAATTTAGTTTGGATTTGTGGAAAAACTATTGGAGAACAGGAATCCAGACTTCTGAATAACTGAAAAGTAAATAATGGTAAATCTCACAGGAGTACATCTTTGGTGCAGTAGCATGAAATAATTGCCAGGTGATCTTTCTGTTGCAGGGTGGAAGATGTCTATGGATGTGACGTTTCTGGGGACAGGTGCAGCATACCCATCCCCAACCAGGGGTGCCTCTGCCGTGGTCCTCCGGTGTGAGGGCGAGTGCTGGCTCTTTGACTGTGGGGAGGGAACGCAGACACAGCTTATGAAAAGCCAGCTTAAAGCAGGTTAGTGTGCATTTCACTGTCTTGTTTTTTTTTTTTTCTTTTTTTTTAATATTTGAAGGGGAGAGGGAGATACAGAGAGAGGTTCCAACCACTATTTCACTCCCCAGATGGCCTCACTGGCCAAGGCTGGGCCAGGTTGAAGCCTGGAGCCAGGAACTCCGTCCAGTTCTCCCTCGGGTGTGCTGGGACCCAAGCACCTGGGCCATGTTCTGCTGCTTCCTCAGGCACAATAGCAGGGAGCTGGCTCCAAAGTGGAGCAGCCAGGACTCGCGCCCATATGGGATGCAGGCAGCAGCTTAACTCTGTGGGCCGCACCTCTGGCCCCTAAGATTATTTTCTGTTCTACCTAATTTTCTTGGCTCTCCTTGGGTGTTTTGTTCTAAAACAGCCCCGGCAGTTGCATCCCTCTTCAGTGCCACAGTCTTGGCAAGACTTAGAAGGCCCTCAGGCTTTGAGCCGTCCCCGCTGAACTTCATTTGCATCCTACAAATGTGTATTTAGGCTTGGTGGGTAAAGGATGGACTACATCAGCCATCTCGCTGCCTAGTGAGAGAGCAGTGCACATTCTTATTTCTAGCAGGAAGTGGCTGTCATGAGAGGACGCAAAGGGCAGGTGTCCGGAGGAGGGAGCCGCCCCTTTCTACGTGGGTTGCCAGGGTGGGCATCTCAGAGAGGTTGGCCTGTGAGTTGGAGGAGGAGGAATTCCTGGGATGGGGAGAAGAAGGGCGTTCCAGCTGTCGGGATTGGGGTGAACAAAGACCCATAGCTGGGGATAGAGAACCAAAGGTGAAAAGCCTCAGCCCAGATTCAGCCAGACCTGAGTTCTGATCCCAGCTGTGTCTCAGAACTTAAACATGACTTCCCTTGTTTCAAAAGTGGGGATAGGAGCAGGTGATTAGGTGAACAGTTAAGATGCCCATGCATCAGAAGGCCTGGGTTTGATACTTGGTTCTGGCTCCAGCTCCTGGCTCCAGCTCCTGGCTGCAGCTCCTGGCTCCAGCTTCCCACCAGTGCAGGCCCTAGAAAACAGCAGAGTTGGCTCAAGTGATTAGGTCCCTGCACCTGTGAGGGAGACTTACGAGTTCCCGGCTCCTGGCGTTGGCCTTGGCCGAGCCCTGGCTGTTGTGGGCACTGGAGAGTATGAATCAGCAGACTGGAGCTCTCTCTCTCTCTCTTTCTTTGCCTCTCAAATAAATAATTTTTTAAAAAAATGTTTTTAATGAGAATAAAATCTCTATGTAGAAGAGATGTTGTAAGAATTATTTATAATAATTCCTTCCTATGTGGTTGTCTGCTTCTCATCAGTTAAAACAGCTCAGATACTGTCTCATTTGCTGTGTCTCCTGGTGAAGTGGTTGCTCTGTCACCCCATTCTGTCACTTTGTCCAATTTATTGGCTTCTTCGCATTGTCAGTATCTGGAATTGTTATTTCGATGGTTTTTCTCTGTGTCCTCTGTCTCCCTTTGTCATAAAGTACAGTGATTGCTTAGGTACCTGTATGTGCCTAGAGGATATCTGTTCAAGTAGTGACTGGGTAAGACATTCAGCAGTTTAGTACAGTGCCTCTAACTTATTAGGTCTTGATAAATAGTAGTTACTGAAGTTAGTATTCTCACAACTTACCACAGTGCTCGGCACTTGATGAACTCAGGCAAGATACTTCCAAAGATCTCTTAGTCTAGTGATGGAACCAACGTGCAGGCAGTCATTGATGATGTGATACAAGCAGAGTAATGGAGGTGTTTTCTAGGTACGTTTGGAGCACAAAGGATGGGGACGCTGACTGTGCCCCTCTGTTCAGAGAAGACATCTCAGAGATGGTAACAGTTGAGCTGGTATCTGGGAGATAATTAAAAGTTTCTCTAGGGGCCTGCACTGTGGCTTAGCAGGAAAAGCTGCCGCCTGCAGTGCCGGCATCCCATATGAGCACTGGTTCAAGTCCCAGCTGCTCCACTTTCAATCCAGCTCTCTGCTATGGCCTGGGAAAGCAGGAAAGTGGAAGATGGCCCAAGTGTTTGGGCCCCTGAACCTGCATGTGAGACCCAGAAGCTCCTGGCTTCCAGGTTTGGATTGGTATAGCTATGGCCGTCATGGGCATTTGGGGAGTGAACCATCACATGGAAGACCTCTCTCTGTTTGCCTCTGCCTCTGTCTCTCTGTAACTCTGCATTTCAAGTAAATTATAAAAAAGTTTCTCTGGAAAGAGAAGTGAAGATGAACATTCAAGGAACACACAGCAAAGTGGACAACAAGAAAGGAGTTTGCAGGAAACAAACAGTATGTTTAGAGACCTTTAAGCACTTGGCTAAGCTAGGGGACAGGTAAAGATGCTGAAAAGGTAACTGAGGGCATATCGTGAAGTCCTGTAGGGTGTGGAAAGGTGTTTGGACCTTACAACTCTAGTAGTGACAGGAACCATGAAATACATCTAGGAAAATGATGTGATCCGATTTGTGGTTTGGGGCAGTTTTCTGATGGCAGAGGTATTGGGAGAGAGAGAAAGGATAGCAAGAGAGACGCCTTCCCAGGCAGTTGCATTCACTTTAGAGGGACAAGAGTTGGGGAGAGAGGCAGGGGGAGGATACGAGTGTGTTGAAGCAGGGAATGGAGACAGGACGGAGAGGAGAGATTGAATTTAAGAGGTCCTGCTAGAGCCAAGGGGGTGGGGACTGAACGTCTAGGGTGTGAGGAAGAGCAGAATCAGCACCAGTTGGTGATGGTGATGTCCTGGCCGAGACAGGGAGTCAGGAAGAGAGTGGCTGGCAGGAGTAAGTACGTGTTGCTGGGGACATGGGACCCCAGCCCCAGTTATAAAGTGAGCTTCCTAAGTCGGTTCCTCTGCTCTACTTCCCTTGGTTCACACAGGGATTCTTTTCATGGGCGCCCTCAGGACAGGCACAGAGTGGAGACTGGTATTTAACATTTTGGGAGTAGAGACTAAGTGGTGTTAAGACAGTGGGTTAAATGGAGTGGATGAAAGTAGAAGCAAGAGGCTGTTATGTGTGAGTAGGAGATGGGTGTGGGGTGGAGTCTTTGCTTTTTATTTCATCCCCTTGGCACTTCTGTGATGTGCATGACAGATTACCAATTTACAGGCTTAGTTGCGTTTATTGTCACATAGTTTCCGTGGGTCAGGGAGTTGGGGCCTGGTTCAGCTGGGCCAGGTTGTCTTCTCTTGGGTCTCACTAGGCTGACCTGCAGGTATTGGCTGAGGCTGTGGTCTTAGAACTGGAGATGGTTTGCTTCTGAGCTCACTTATGTTGCCAGCAGAACTGGCACAGTTGTAAGGTGGTCTGCTCTGGACTCCTGGAGGCCCTCCCAGTCCTTTGCCGTGTGCGTTTCTGCTTCCTACCAGCAAGGGAGAAAAAACTTTGGAGCAAGTCTTCCAGCAGGATGGAATGTTACATACCTTAAAGTGATCGCACTGCATCTCTGTGGCATTGCTAGCAGACAGCAGCCAGTCACAAGTCCCGCCTAGAGAGGTCATGGGAGGTGACACCAGGAGGCAAAGACGGTGGGGTCCTCTGTAATCTTCCACCATGTTACCCTTCTCCAATATTTCATATTCAACATTTCCTTTATATATGTTTTAATTTTGTTTATTTATTTTTATTTTATTTGAAGGGCAGAGGAACAAAGACAAAGGGAAATCCATCTACTGGTTCATTCCCAAATGCCCACAACAGCCAAGGCTGGACCAGGCTGAAGCCAGGAGCCAGGAACTCCATCCTGGTCTCCCATGTGGGTGGCCGGGACTCAAGTACTTGAGCCATCCCTGTTGCTTCCCAGAATGCACTTTAGCAGGAAGCTGGAATCAGGAGTAGAGCCAGGACTCCAACCCAGACGGTCGGATATGGGATGCAAGCATCACAAACAACAGCTTAAGTGCTGTACCAAATGCCTACCCACTTTATCCACGTTTTAAATAGTTGACAAAGCTAAGCATGGCAAGAGCTCACACACACACACACACACACATACACACATACACACACCCTCAAGGAACCTTAAGTTTACTAACATTTTTATTGGCTTAAAAAAGATTCTTGGCCTCCTAGAGGAATGTGGGGTGGCCACCCAGTGTCATCATCTGGTTCTGGCACTTCAGATGCCCCTAGTCACAGCCCAGAATGCAGCATCCTCAGTACCTCCTGGTTCTCTGGACCTCTCGTTCTTTGATTCGCTGAAACCCTTTCAGCTTGCACTCTCCGGGGGAGGTTTTTTTTTTTTTTTTTTTTTTGACAGGCAGAGTGGACAGTGAGAGAGACAGAGAGAAAGGTCTTCCTTTGCCGTTGGTTCACCCTCCAATGGCCGCCGCGGCCGGCGCACCGCGCTGATCCGATGGCAGGAGCCAGGAGCCAGGTGCTTTTCCTGGTCTCCCATGGGGTGCAGGGCCCAAGCACCTGGGCCATCCTCCACTGCACTCCCTGGCCACAGCAGAGGGCTGGCCTGGAAGAGGGGCAACCGGGACAGAATCCGGCGCCCCGACCGGGACTAGAACCCGGTGTACCGGCGCCGCTAGGCGGAGGATTAGCCTAGTGAGCTGCGGCACCGGCCTGGGAGGTATGTTTTAAGAGTTTCCTAAGAGGTTCTTTGTATTTAACTGAACATACTTCATTCATGCTTCCATGATATGTAAGCATTTGATTAGCAAGTACAGATTTGCCATCTCTGTTTCTTTCATAAGTTTAAAGAACAAGCTAAAGCCATCTTTTTTCCTATTCAAAAATTATTATAAAAGTGATGATTAAAAGCATTACAGAGGCAAAGGATCTGCATCATCCCATATATGAGGGCCTGGGTTTGACTTTCAGTTCTGGCTTCTGACTCCAGCTTCCTGCTGACACAGACCCTGGGAGACAGCAGGAGACAGATGGATCAAGTACTTGTGTCCCTACCACCCATGTGGGAAACCTGGATTGCATTCATTGCTCTTAGCTTTGGCCTCGCCCAGCCCCGGCCTTTGCAGACATTTAGGGAGAGAACCAGAAAGTAGGAGCTTGCTCACTCTTTCTGCCACTCAAAAATTATAAAAATGTGTTTTTTAAAAAATGGATTATTAGGCCAGCGCTGCGGCTCAATAGGCTAATCCTCCGCCTGCGGCGCCGGCACACTGGGTTCTAGTCTCGGTCGCTCCTCTTCCAGGCCAGCTCTCTGCTGTGCCTGGGGAAGCAGTGGAGGATGGCCCAAGTGCTTGGGCCCTGCACCCCCATGGGAAACCAGGAGGAAGCACCTGGCTCCTGGCTTCGGATCAGCGTGGTGTGCCAGCCGCGGCGGCCATTGGGGGTGAATCAACGGAAAAGGAAGACCTTTCTCTCTCTCTCTCACTGTCCACTCTGCCTGTCAAAAAAAATGGATTATTAAAAAGTATAACATGATCACTGTAAAAGTTCAAATGAAAATATAAAGAAGAAAAGTACAAGTCTTCCAATCATAGGTAAATTTTCTATGCATATAGGTATGGTTAAGACAAGAGTGTGTGTGTGTGTGTGTGTGTGTGTGTGTGTGTGGTTTTGCATGAATGAAATACCACTATACTTGGCATAACCTGCTGCAGTTTTTCGGCTGACCAGTAAATGTGAATGGAACGCTGCAGACTTTCTCATGTGGCGGCAAGTGGGCCTGCACTCTCGTTCGTAGAGGCTCTGTGTGTCTGCTCCTCTGAGGATGGCATGGTTCTGCATCCCTTCCTTGCTCTCAAGTGAGAGAGCTCACGCATTTTTCTCTCTTCATTTGATGGCTTCCTCATACCTTTGATAATTGTGGTTGCCATTCCTCCTCCCTCTGATATCAGGTTTCTTGAAAAATGCAGTGTTTGTCTTTCCTGAAACTGTGAGAACTGTGGGCAGCAGCTTTCGCCTGCTCACTTCGTCTCGCTTGCGGTGGGTTCCCCTGTTGTTTTGTGTTCGCCATGGTCTTTGTTTGGGAATAGAGAGGGTGAGGTCCCAGAACCGCTGACACTGGCAGTTTCAAAGCCAACATGGGATCTGGAAGCGTGGCTGCTATGGTTCTTCTGTCTACACAGTCCTCGGGTCACACTTGGAGCTGGCTCGGCAGCCTGGGCCATGGGAGGGGAGGGAATGAAAGGATTCTAGGAGTCAAAGAAACAGGGATCAAGCATAGGAAAGGAAACGCTACAGATTGAGGAAGGCTGCAGAGTGCCTCCTGGGGGTGCTTCAGGTCCAGAGTTAGCCTCTAGCCAACCTGTCCGCTGCTGCGGGGCCTGGCTTCTGTGGGCATTTGGGAAGGCTCGTTTGGAGGACACCTGATGCCAGGGGGCAGATCACATCACAGTAAACCGTCCCTGTCCCTTTATGGTACCAGATGTTTCAATAGGTGGGCCTTGAGCTAGGACCAGGAGCCTCTGTTACGCTGGGAACGTGTTAGTTGTGATGCATCCTTTATAAAAAGCTGTGTGGTGCAGCTCAGAAAGTGCCGGGGTGATGTCCTGCCACGTACCAGCAGTAAATTCAGCTTACCACCGGCTAAATCAAGTTGTAACCTAAAGCCGGTACCGCAGCTCAATAGGCTCATCTTCCACCTGCAGCACAGCACACCATGTTCTAGTCCCGGTCGGGACGCTGGATTCTGTCCCGGTTGCCCCTCTTCCAGGCCAGCTCTCTGCTATGGCCCGGGAGTGCAGTGGAGGATGGCCCAAGTCCTTGGGTCCTGCACTCCTTGGGAGACCAGGAGAAGCACCTGGCTCCTGGCTTCGGATCAGCGCGGTGCGCCGGCCGCAGCGGCCATTGGAGGGTGAACCAACGGCAAATGAAGACCTTTCTCTCTGTCTCTCTCTCACTGTCCACTCTGTCTGTAAAAAAAAAGAAAAGAAAGAAAGAAAAAGGAAAAAAAAAAACAAGAAAAAAAAGTTGTAACCTAAGCCAGCAGGCACCGAAACGGCTGTCGTGTTCAAACTGAAAGTCAGAGAAGGCACCAGTACGTAGGGGGTCTGCCCTCCGCCTTGGTGGCCCACTTCCTCCCCTCCCCTCCCAGCTCCTCACGACACCCTTCTACCACCTTTCTTCTTCTTCCTCCCTCCCCCCCCTTCAGCCTCACCCCGACAGGCGGCTAACCCCCCTTCCAGTGAGAGAGCCCGTAAAGGCAGTTTGGGGTCCAGGCATTGGTCTAGTCAGTGGAGCCAGTGGGACATTCTGTGTTGCTGAATTACAGGCCTGCTCTTCTCGGGGGAAGCAGTAGGGGGCAGTGTAGCTGTCAGATGTTTCTGACACAAGTCTAAAACTTAGTGAATTGCTTTGTTATACTTTGTGTGTGTGTTTTAAGTGAGGAGATATGTAGGAAAATCAAAACTAGGAAACTATGTAATTTGAAGATGTTTATGAAAGTTGTATGGCATTAAGACCATTCAGTGAACTACTGCCTGTCTTGCTTCTGGAATCATGTAGCAAAATGTAAATGAATAACATCACGGTGATAAGTAAAACTTCTAAATTCAATTTACTACTTTTTGTTTTGTGTTAGGCTTGTTTCAAATAGCTTTGTGTAGATTTTTATTTAAAAAAAAAACACCCAAATGTATTTCTCTGTCTCAATCAAAAGGGAGGATTACCAAGATCTTCATCACGCATCTCCATGGAGACCACATCTTCGGCCTTCCGGGCCTTCTGTGCACAATCAGCCTGCAGAGCAGCTGCACGGTCTCCAGGCAGCCCATTGAGATCTTTGGCCCTGTAGGGCTGCGGGACTTTATCTGGCGGACCATGGAGCTCTCCCACACGGAGCTGGTGTTCCCGTATGTGGTTCATGAGCTGGTGCCTACGGCGGATCAGTGTCCCACAGAAGCACTGAAAGAGCTGGCGCAGGTGCACCCAGCAGACGGCCCTCCCAAGGAGGGCCAAGGAAGGACCATCCTCTTGGACCCCGAGGAAGACTCGTACCTTCTGGTTGATGACGAGCAGTTTGTTGTCAAAGCGTTTCGCCTCTTTCACAGGATTCCTGCCTTTGGGTTTTCAGTTATGGAAAAGAAGCGCCCAGGTAAACTCAATGCGCAGAAACTGAAAGACCTTGGTAAGTGATTGTCTTTTCTTTCTTATCAACGGAGCTGTTGTTAACTGAAGCTTCAGAAATATGTTGTCAGGGACATCTTTGGGCTGAGAAGTTTCGCTGTTCTTAACCTTACAACTGCAATCAACTACTCTCAGGGTTTCCTTCTCTATCTACTTTGCCTACTCTAGTTCGAACTTGATTTAAATTAATTTAGTGTTCAGAACACTGTGCCTCAGTCAGGTTCTAGGTACCAGGGTTCATCCCACTGAGCAGCAAGAACACCAAGATGGGCTTGAGGCCCACTGAGGCGTTCACCCCTCCTCCAGGCGAGGCCATGCTCTGCGCCTCCGGTGAGGCAGAGGCAGCTGTGTCACCTGCAGCATCATCCCTCCCCCGGCGTGGCAGTCCCTGCAAAAGCATGGTGCTGTTCTCCACACAACCACTTCCTCAGCTGAAAAAACTAGATAGTGGGAAAAGTGACTTAGGCCAAAGATAACTTTATAACTAAAAAACTGTGGAAATACTATATTTGGAAACTGTTTTATTTATTTGAAAGAGTTACAGAGAGAGGTAGAGACAGAGAGAGAGGTCTTCCATCTGATGGTTCACTCCCCAAATGGCCACAATGGCTGGAGCTGCGCCAATCTGAAGCCAGGAGCCAGGAGCTTCTTCTGGGCCTCCCACATGGGTGCAGGGGCCCAAGGACTTGGGCCATCTTCAACTGCCCTCCTAGGCCACAGCAGAGAGCTGGATTGGAAGTGGAGCAGCTGGGACTAGAACGGGTGCCCATGTGGGATGCCAGCACTGCAGGCCGGGGCTTTAACCCGCTGCGCCACAGCACCGGCCCCTGCAAACTTTTTAAAAAGATTTATTGTTTTGAAAGGCAGAGTGAGAGAGAGGGAGAGCTAGAGAGACCTTCACCTGCTGGTTCACTTTCAGATGCCTGCAATATCCAGGGCTGGCCCATGTGGAAGCAAGAACCCAAAACTCCATCGTGGTTTCCACGTGGGTGGAGAATCCCAAGTAGTCGGGCTGTCCTCTGCTGCCTTCCCAGGTGCTTTAGCCGGGAGCTGGGTTGGTAGCAGAGTGTCTGAGACTTAAACTGCACTTTGATATGGGATGCAAGTCGCAAGTGGCAGCTTAACCTGCTGCACCACAGCACCAGCCCCTGTATTTGGAAACTTGAAAGTGATCACATCATACTTGTGTATAAATACTGTCCAGAGTGATGGTCAAGTGTTATTTTAGGCTAATAGGAGATTTAAGCATAGGTTGGCATAGGCAGAACTGCCCGTCTTCCATGGTTGATCGAGTATGGTTGTCTGAAATGCACCTTGATCTTGGGCTCCCAATGATCCACTCTAACAAGTTTTCATGGAGTTAGCCAGTTTGTAGATACTTAACTTCAGTAGGCATTGATTATGTCATTATTTAAGTGGACGCTTTAATTTTATCCAAAGATGAGATTATTTAATAAAGGACATGCAAAAACTGTTACTCCCATGCACAGCAGAGAATCAAGCCTGTTGTATTGGCTGAAAGAGAATCTCCGTGGAAAGTAGGAGCTTAGGGGTCCAGCACTGTGGTGCAGTGGGTTAGGCTGCTGCCTGCGAGGCTGGCATCCCAAGTGAGCACCTGGTGCTTCACTTATGATTAAGCTCTCTGCTAATGCACCTGGGAAAGCAGCAGAAGGTGGCCCAAGTCCTTGGGCCCCTACACCCATATGGGAAGCCCAGATGGGCTAACAGTTTCCTGGCTTTGGCTATTTGGGAAGTCAACCATAAGATGGTGTGTCTTTTAAGATAAATAAAAATAAAATAAATAAATAAAAAATAAAATCTTTTTTAAGAAAAGGAAAATAAAAGCTTAAAACTTTGACACAAATGCATAGGAAGTGTTTTAAGTACTAGGGCATTGCTGATATCTGGTATCAGCACTGAACTTTTAAAGATGTATAAATATTCCAGTTTTCCATAAGCAGTAAAACATGTATAATAATTGTGAAAAGAGCTGGAGCCTTTTCCATTTGCTATTTGCTATGCTGTTAAAATCAACTCCTTAATAAGTTGTAAATTCCATTCCCATGACCTAATGTTATCTGTCTTCATCATTAGGTGTTCCCCCAGGTCCTGCCTATGGAAAGCTGAAAAATGGAATTTCTATTGTTCTGGAAAATGGAGTTACAATTTCTCCCCAAGAGGTCCTCAAAAAACCTGTCAGCGGGAGAAAAATCTGTATATTGGGTGACTGTTCGGGGGTGGTGGGTGATGGGGGCGTGAAGCTGTGCTTTGAGGCCGACCTGTTGATCCACGAGGCCACCCTGGACGATGCCCAGATGGACAAAGCAAAGGAGCACGGCCACAGCACACCTTGGATGGCAGCAACGTTTGCCAAGCTGTGCCATGCAAAGCGGCTGGTTCTGACTCACTTCAGTCAGAGGTACAAACCAGCTGCCTTGGCCAAAGAAGGAGAAGCAGATAGCATTGTAGAACTGAAAAGGCAAGCTGAATCCGTGTCGGATCGGCAAGAAGTGACTCTGGCAGAAGACTTCATGGTGATCAGCGTTCCAATGAAGAAATGAAAGCAGTGTCCCCGAACGCATGTTGACGTGCGCGTGTGCGTTACGGAACCCACAGTCCAGTTTTTGTTTTTTGTCCAAAGCTCTTTGGGTCCTGATAATCCTGAAAAGGGTAGCATGTTGCTGAACTGATTGGGTCATGACAGGGAGCAAGCTTTTTGATAATAAATCATTTTGAAATAAAAAAACCAGCGTCCTCTTTAAAGTCCAAGTCTGACAAAACTACAGACTGTTCAGGTACACATCTCACTGTGTGGCCTCTGCCGCAGATAAAAGCCAGTACCCCATCCAGTCCTGGGCTTCACTTCAGCCCTGGTTGTTGCTGTTACTGGCAAGGTGCACTGGGCTTGGCTTTCTCAGCTAAGAGTGGTATTTTGACAGTTTGTGTTGAATCTGTTCGTGTTATTAACAGAATAGAGAGAAATGTAAGGAGATGTTGTACATGCAGGATGGACACTAGTGTGACCATGGCTTTGCTGGAATACCGGATGCAGGATTGGGCTGGGTGTCTATCTTAGTATTTTATCAAACTTTCCGGTTTGCTCTAAATCCCCAGTTCTCAGTTAGGGTGATACTGCTCCCCTAGAAGGAGTTTTGAAGTTGTGAGGATGTTTGCTTGTGATGGTGGCTGGGGGTAGCGGTGGTGGTGGTGATGGTACTACTGGTGTCTAGGTGGCATGGGTCAGGGATGTTAGCATGTCTTGCATAATTTGGGTCAGTCCTGTGCAGTGAAGAATTATCTCACCCCAAAATGCAAATCGTAGGCCCCCCGAGATTCACAGCAGATTCATACTTGTACTCCCAATATGTATATATACCAAAATGAGTGACATAATGAGCTGAAGTACTAGGCAAGTTGGATCCTGTAATAAATCCTAAAGAGTGTATATGTTGGAATGGGAATGTCATATCAAATATTATTTGAAGAAATGAGCCATCAAGTGACCCTATGGTCCTGGAGGTAAAACATTTCTGTCTAAGGTCATGTGCCTCTTAGTAATTCTTTGGCCACAAGTGTAACACCTGCTCTTTCCATAGCTGTCTTTCCTTCTGAGCTGCCTTCCATGTCCCTTCTTTGTGCCATGAGGTATCTGAATTGCCACACAGTAAGTCTCAAAGTGTGTTCCACAGACATCTAGTGTCGAGGGAGGATTCGTTCCAATGGGCCCCCAAATCTGCATGGGAAGTCCTTTATGCTCTGCCCCTCTAGGAGTGGTCTAGTGAGCACAGCACTGCTTTGAATGATCATGAACCAGTTTCTGGAGCCAGAAACACCTGATGGCAGAGTTCCATTGTGCACCTTGCTGTGGTGCCTGTGTGGTCTGAGCAGGTTTCATGCTCTCTCAACCATGTGAGCTTGCTCATCTCTAGGATGGGAGGAGTAATACATGCTTCACAGGATTGTTGGGACAATTACATGAGATGATATATATAAGGAGTAAAGCTCATTGATAAAAGCATTGAGAAGCCCTGTAGTACTCAGGCCTGTCAACTCTGTTGACTCCATTTCACCAGACCCTAGCTGATGTTTGCTAGGAACCTAGACAGTGTTAAGCACACAAACGTAGAAACATGTTGTAGTGTATACTGTTAGAGTCCTTTGGATGCTGGGTCCTCTTTGGTCAGCAGTGTCACTTCTGGCTGGTTGTGGAGACTTCAGAGTAATGATGGTCAGGATAGTCTGGTTACTTAATATCTCAGATCATCTTGATGCCGGCTCTAGAATGGTCTGATTCTGTCTGAACCTAGGCCCTTTGCCCCCAAAGTGCCCAAGTTTGATCAGACTTAAAGGAGATCTTTGTTTCCAAGGTGAGTTTAAGCAAGAATTAATTAGGCACTTACTGAATGCCTAAACCTATATAGGAGGGAATGGCTAAGAGGAGTATCCCCAATGCATAGAGCCTTTGAGGGCACAGAATGTCTTGGTTACCTCTAAATTCTTAGAAATGCCAGCCCATAGTAAGTACTCCAAAAATGGATTTTGAAACAAATGTAGTTTGGATATCATGAGCATGCAAACTTTAGACATCTTCTATGCCTATTCCATTTCATTACTGTACTCACCAAGGAATTGAAACCGCTAGGTTGGTAGTACTCCATTCACTCTGTACCAAATAAGCACTGCATTTTATTAAGTTTGGGGTACATAAGTGAATAGACAGAAGTCCAGCGCCAAGCTCACATTTCACTGGTAGCGGCAGCTAAGTAAACAAGTAATGATGTTCTTCCTTCAAATGGCTCATCCTGCAGCTTGGCACTCACTTTTGCTGTTCCTGGGCGTCACTTAGCCTCTGACTTGAGCCATGCCCTTAGAATCAGGCCCTATAAGTTTATTTAGGCTAAGCCCTGAGAGGCCCTGGGAGCATGGGAACAATAGGAGACACTGTAAGTTGTCAGCCCATGGTGAGAATTCCTTCTAGACCCTCTTCTAGCCAAGAATTAGTTCTTAATGATAGGAACAGTCTAAGAATTTGTGGAGTAAGAAGAAAGTTTATGTCGGACTTCTCAGAACCTGTAACCCACTCATGGTAATAGGACTCATAAATGGGGTGAGGGGGTTATAGTATGCACTGAGCCTCAAACGTACGTGATACCTGAATCCTCTTTTGGCCAAAGAAATCTTGGAACATTGAGAAATGCTGTTCCTTATATTACTTTAAGTTAGTACTGTTTTTTACCTGCACAATGTTTTGAGGTAATAATATCCGTATCTATATTTAATAGAGAACTTCATCCTACACTTAACTTTCAGTGTCAAATCCATAGATACCTACTTGGGCACAATGGTATGCCGCAGGTTAAGCTGCTGATTTTAGATTTAGAAAATTCACTTTGCAGTTCTCAGAATTAGACTTGCCCAGTAGTCCCTAAATCAGTGTCTTCTAATACTCAAGCCTTATTAATATGCATTTAATGAACTTTGAGTTATAAAAGCCACATATACTTGGTGGAGAATGTTTTTTATTTTGTATTTTTTTAAAAGATTTATTTATTTGAAACGTAGAGTGACATGGAGAGAAGAGACACAGAGAGAAAGAGATCTTCCATCCACTGGTTTACTCCCCAAATGGCCTCAATGGCAAGAGCTGGGGCAGACGAAAGCCAGGAGCCTGGATGTGGGTAGCAGGGCCCCAGAAACTTGGGCCATCCTCTGCATCTTTCTCAGGCGCATTAACAGGGAGCTGGATCACAAGTGGAGCAGCCAGTCCTTGAACCAATGCTCTGGTCCGGGATGCTGACATTGCAAGCAGCAGCTTTACCTGTGGCACAACATCGGACCCAAGAATTTACTTTAAAGATTCAAGAGAATAATTATGCATAATTCCACTACCCAGAGAGTTGCTGCTCCTGGTCCAGTGGTCCTCAAGCAGGTGTGCGGATCACCTGCGGTGTGAAGTTGGATGGAGTCTCTGCCTCCAAAGACTAAAGCAGTAGGTCTGAGGTGGCACTCAAGAACCTGCGTGTTTAACAAGTCCCACAGGTGGTGCTGCAGTATATGGGTGACAGACCACATTGGGAGGAAAAAATCTTTTCTGTGCACTGTAAAAATCAGGGTGCGAAGAGACATTTATATGTGTTGTGTATGTGTGCATAAGCACACGTGCATATTTTTACACATAGGCTGACCTCCCTCAACTGTCCCTCTCACTTAATGTGTTGTGAGCGTTTTCCCATGTTCTCGGAAAGCATTGATTGGATGGCTTTACATTATCCCTTTCTATGGCTGTAGTATCATTTAACTGTTTTCCTATTTGGAGGCTTTCCTGTTTGTTTTCGAGGATCACAAACCATACTCTCATGATTTTTTTAAGGATTTATTTATTTGAAAAGTAGAGTTAGAGGGAGAGAGAGATAGATCAATCTTCCATCTGCTGGTTCATTCCCCAAATGGCCACAAAGGCTGGGCTGGGCCGGGCCAGGGAGAAACCAGGAGCCTGGGACTCCATGGCAGGGGCCCAAGCACTTGAGCCATCTTCCACTGCCTTCTGATGCATATTAGCAGGGAGCTGGATAGGAAGTGGAGCAGCCGGGACTCAAACTAGCACTCAAGTGGGATGCTGGTGTCACAGGAGGTGGCTTGACATGCTGCACCACAATGCCAGCCCCTCATGAACATTCTTGTGCATTAACACTTGTATCTCTGAGTCTTTCCTTCTTGGAATTGGTCTCCCAGAGGGTCAAAACATTCGACTTATTTTTTTAGATTCTTGGTAGGAACCACCCACTCACTTTCATGCTCATTTACACTCTCAGGAGCCGGAGAGGAGTGGCCCGTCTGTGATCTCCACGGCACTTATTTTCCAAGACATTAGTCCTGGCAAGATTGTCATCTTTCACCTGGCACATTTAATTTAACTGCGATTTCCTTGAATATTCTTTTTAAAATGTTTTGAGATTCACTTATGTATTTGGCAGAGTTACAGAGAAGGAAAGAGAGAGAGAATATCTTCCATCTGCTGATTCATTCCCCGAATGGCCACAATGGCCAGGGCTGGTCAGGGTGAAGCCAAGGGCCAGGAGCTTCTTCCAGGTCTCCCATATGGGTGCAGGGTCCCAAGCACTTGGGCCATCTTCCACTGCTTTCCAGGCCATTAGCAGAGAGCTGATTTGGAAGAGCAGCAGCCAGGACTCGAACCAGCACCCATATGGGATGCCTCCATCACAGGCAGCGGCTTAACCCCTCACACCACAGCACCAGCCCCTCCTTGAATATTCTTAATCCAGTTGAAGGTTTTAGTAGTTTGTACTTAAATGTGGCCATGGCAGAAGTACAGTGAAGGTATTGCCCTCACCAAGCTATGAATTGACAGTGAGACTCCCTGATGGATGGATCTTTCAGGTAATGATGAGGTAGTATTTTTCTTACATGGGAAGACTGAAAAAGGAAAGTGCTGGTAGTGCTTTGAATGCTCTGTCTCGACTGGAGGAGAACAGAGTTTGGGCAGGGGACGACCTGAGATCGGAGCGCCGCGTTCTTGTTCTTCAGCAGTAGGAAGTGAGCGATGTCTACCAGGAAAACTAAACAGTACTGAGAGCATACAGTCTTCTTACAAAGCGGGGTGGGGCGTGGAGAAGAGGCGGGATCCCAGAAGAATTGCCAGGAGTGGAGGAGGGGTCCCTCGTGGAAGGGGCCAGAGGTGTGGGGGAGGGGGCAGGAGATGGCTGGTTCTTAAAGCCAGAGAGGACT